AATTAAGTCCTTTTAATGATGGTTAATGATTTTTTATTCCCAAATCTATGCGTAAAATTCAATATTTCTCCCTAACAACTATTGGCTGGGCGATAAGCTTGTGCCTAAGCTTGTCACAACTGTCACCAACCGCGTCTGTGTGAAACGGACAAACGCGTATATCACAGAAGGTACCTCGCTGTATGTTACATTTAAATATAAATTAAAGAATACAATTTAAATGTTTTTTATTTTATTTCTTTTGAATATTTTTTTTTGTTTCGCTCAAATTCAATAATAACTTTGAAGAAATCATAGAGTACGTACCGTCAATATATATATATATATAATACAAAAAAAATCACACAAACAGACAACTGAATGTTAGTAAAAAAACAGACACAGAAACTTATAAATTATTAAATTGTTACAATACATTGTATTTGACATCAATGAGAAACTGTTCGACGAGACTGCGGTCGAGTTGACAAGATAATACGAGAAAATAACCCTAGGGTAGGATTAGACAGTTTAATTAAAATTATTTATCAGAAAATATTCGAACCTGATCTCATATTGTGTCTTAATTTATTTTGAATATTCTTATAAATAAACATACCGGTGTATGATCTATACAAAAAAACAGGACCGCGGGCAAAACTACACCTATTCCTTGTTCCTATATCATGCCTACGCATGTTTTATTATTTGCCACCAGCAGTCATCTTTTATACAAATGTACCAAATGATTCCACATTCATACGAGCGGAAAACAATTGTAGAATGAAATATACCAATTTCATCAGTACAGTTTTCAATGTATATTTCACTACCACCTCTCTATTCTTTTTCGTTAACCCGTTCGTTTTTTTTTCGGGACTGCTTTGAGCAAAAGTAATTATTAATGTGTAAATTCCGCCACTTTGCGCCAATATATGCACGCACATAGCAGCCCGGGGCGAAATACAAACAGTAACACTTACATATACCATTGTCATCGCTGCACAACAAAACAACATACGGCCAAGTCTAGGAGAGTTTTAATTAAGTTTATCGCCGATATCTGAGATATCATCACGAGAACAGGAGCCAATCGTAGATTGAACCGCGAAAAACACGGACCAAAACAAAACGAGATAAAATAAAACAATACCAGAAGAAGGGCACAAAATACTGGTCGGCAATATTGGAAAACAGTATGGGTGGTCGATTTTACGGTTGAAACTCACCAATTTATGCATGTCATGATGCATCCCATGTTGTTCATCACAAAAATGAGGCCCATATTGACGTGGATTGACCACATTGAACTTGTATGACAACCATACAACTACTTTGCGCTTCAATGCAATCAAATGCAATTGATTTTGCCTAGGGGTGCCGTCGATACAAATACCAGCGTTAACTAATATTACATTGATTCTGTTTTCTCTTTTTTGGGCAAGGAACATTTCGGCTACAATTTGTTGATGACTAAAATGTTAAGAAAAGCAAACGGAATCTACCTGTATGTTTATTTGCTGGATCCCGATTTCTTGTTTTGTCGCAAAGCGAATCCAAAGTTTAGTACAGCTCGTAGTGATATACCATTCGCAATGGGACCGTCTGTATTCGTGTTATACCGACAAGATGGAATGACAACGATTTATCGGCGACAAAATAACACGCCCTCACTCGACATAAGCCTGTTTATGTTGAACATCTACGTTTACGAACTGTTGGTGGCACAGTAACCATATTTCCATCCTATTTCACGAATCTGGGCGGAAGGGGAGAGGGACTTTATAGAGATTACCTATTGGGACGTGTTAGATAAATGTTTGTTGAGATTCTAGGTACAAATGTGGGTCTTAATCAAATAGGTATAAATCCATTTTATTTTACTTTATTAAGCTTAAAAGGACTTGCGTGTGCGCAGGTGACGAGCCTCCCACTTAAAAATAAATACGGTTGTACAAGATACTGTTAATATCACTGCTGAC